TCATATAAGTTATAATAATAATATATATAAAGGTAGATTTCTACACTTGAAAAATGATAAATACAATTAAGTTGTCTATTTAAATACTTTAATTTTAAGGTTTCAAATTATTATGCTTAATCAAAAAAATTTCAAACTTAAAATAAAATTAGAAGTCGATGAATTTTATCCGAACCTAACTACGTGTTAATAATTTATTTCATAATAGCCAACTTAACATAATTTAGCCTATACCTACTTAACCTACATAAATATTAAAATTGTATTCTCAGTCGGTAATATTTGTTGGAAAATAATTGCATCATTCAAAATACCAATTAGCCTATAGGAAGTGTATTATTGCAGGGAATACGCCACTGAGTAGTATAATATATTAAAATTGTGTTCTTGTTTCAAAATAGGATTGGTTTGAATCTTAAATTGTATTAAAAAGAGTCTAAAATTTTGAATTTGACTCAATATTTCCATCTGTTGTGTGGTTTTATCAATTTTTCCAGATGGGTTGCGTCTTGTCTCTTATGTATATATGTATATTATATAGTGAATACCCTAACCAACAAAATCCAAAATGTTGGTGTAAAATATTGTGAGGTGTATGGTACCATTTAAATTCGTAATTTTTTGGGACCGTCACCCGTGCCCCCCACTATAAGTAGTTCTTAATACCTACTCCCTTATTGATCACTTATTAAAGTTTATGAAATATTCAAGCTCTTTAGAAAGCGAACATTTTTAATCGACAATCAATTCAAAGAAAAAAAATCGAAAATGAAAAGTGTAATAGATAGCTCAAAAATAACTATAAACTATATTCAAATTTCAAATTTTAAATTGAAGCGTTTTTTCTAGATAATAATGCCTATGCAAGTATAGTGTCTAAAAATAATTAAAAAAAACAATAAAACTCATCATTGTTTGTGTGAATTTGTAGGAAAATGCATTATTTTTTGATTATTGGCTATTGCAATACCTTTCTTTAAATATGTTTCAAACTTGTGTTTGCTGTGTGGCAAGGAATTGCCACTAAGAACCTGATGATCACCAATCCGAGAAATAGTGACATCAATCGATACTGGCAGACATGAAACGTTTGTTATCTAAAGAAAATACCGAGCCACGCCAAATCGCCAAAYCACAATCTTCTATTGGGTATTTTAATGTTTAGTGTACTAAATTTGAATTCAATAAGAAATCACTGCATTAAGTACGTAATGACAACGATCTTAAGTGAAAACGATCTGTYAGCCTACATTATTAAATATTATATTCATAAAGCGTTTTTGATATTTAAATAGTTTTACTATAAATATTAAATATTATATGGTAGGTATATTCATTTTTTTCGAAAACATTGCATTTGTTTTAATATTAATAGTTGATTATTAGAATAATWAATCACGGCTAATGCAGTTGTACCACTATACCATACCACCATTACCATCTATCCGTAGAACAATACACTAAAAATTCCGTTTTTTTCTAATTTTTCATATGATGTTCCCAATTGTTAAGAAAATTTCTTACTGAAAATCATTTTCTTTTTCATCCCCCGATTTGATCCACTTTCCTATCAGAAAAAGTATTGGAGTTGAAAATCTATGCATTTGTGCAATGTGCACTATAAATCGTGTATGTGTTTAAAGCATTACTCTGTGGTATGCATATTTTAACACATTAAAAAAAATCCTTGTAAATTCAACACATTCATGTTAATTTCTCCATTCATCATCTAAAATGTGTATTGACGTTTTGTAATATTGTGGAAAATGGAGCCAGTACGTATAATACTTTGAGACCTACCTAAATTTTTATATTAAGAATAAGTTAGTGAGAACAAACGACAAAGGGTATATAATATTAAACATGAGTTCGGTCTTAGATGTATTTAAATCGTTTTTTKATATATTTTAAAATTTCTTAGTTCGAAGACATTGGCCAACTGCACGTAGCTCCGCCATAATGTCAAAGTCAAAATYAAATTAGTCGAAAAACATGCTAATGGCCATAATATAGCTATACCTAGCATACACTTATAAGTTATTATAATATAATATTGCCTTTGGTCCCGACTGTGGAACACCAATGCCCCCCACCCGCCCATCTTTCCGAAATTAATACATTTTAATAACRAGTGAACAATGTACACGTATGAATATTACTTATTTTACGGCATATTACTATTGATATTTAAATATTTATTGACATTAAGTTCAATACGATATTGGCGATATTGCGTACCAACTGTAGGWACCATACGTTTTGCRTTGTGCAGCTGAAGTATTTTAGTGTATACGCAGACGATGTTTTATCAGCTGGTCGTGACACAGTTCACCAGGTTTAGAAGATAATAATRTTATGATCGTTATCTTTGTTACAACTGGCAACAAATTATAGCACTTAAGTATAATAATATTATTACTATAATAGTATTTTTAGTGCTAGTTTTTTTACCACCACAAGTAGACGACAGACGTGTTTACATCGTTAATTATCATATACTATTAACTACTGAAATATAGTGATTAGTCCAGTTTGTCGTGGCACTGTTGATACAAGCTGGATATTTATTATTAGTTATTGTTGTTATTAAGAAAGCGCATTATACATAATAATAAACGCGTAATTATTATCCCTGCCTACCGGTTTAGTAGTCGCTGGTGTTTTTCTAATTACAATAACTCGAGCTATTTCAATTTTCAATACAACAGGTAACGTCATGTACCTATAATATACGCGTAACATTGCCAACATTTGCGACTTGTGTTGTCGGCGAATTTGGAAAATGGGTACATCGCAGTGAGTTGCCGGGGTAGCTAATATTTCTATAATATTCTTTCATTGTTGTTGTAGATAAAGTTGGTTTTCTGTACTTTTGTCTTTTACCATGAGCGATAACGACCCATGCGAATGTTTTTGGAATCATGAATTATCCATGCAACGACTGCTGTCACTGGTAAGTAAACGCAAGTATTTTCATTTAAGAAACAACACTTTTAAGTGTATGTATTCAAGTGCTTCCTGATCAAACATTGGCCAATAATATATTATACCTAATATATCTATACTTTGTTAATTTATTTTTGATTTAACTCACACCTATTAAATATATTAATCAATATTATAATCCTATTTATACAAAATTAAATTAATGTCATTCATACCACATTTCTGTATGCTCTTTATGRATTTCTACTTAATATTTAATATTAGTATAATATGATATATACAAAGCAATGCTTCATAACTCTTAATGCTTAAAGCCATTATTTTAACATAGTTTAAGTTCTAATTAGGAACTTGATTTAAGTACACATTAGGAYTTCATTTCTTKTAAACAATTCCTTTGTATACGCTTGACTAAATATAGATATTCTAGTAAAATTAATAATCAAATACTTATCATAAATATTTCTAAATATAAATAGGTACCTACCTAAGTAGTTATGATTACTGAGGTCACAGCTAGAAATTTCAATTTAATTCATAATTTCCAAGTACAACTATAATTTTTGTTGTCATTCATATATATAAAGATTATAATATGGCCTGTCATTGATATAGTCTACTCTTGATCCCCTAGCTACAAGTTTTCATTAAAATATTTCTCTATTTTTAYTGGCAAATCGAGACTTAAAATTCTACAAAAATCTGTCAACTTCCAGAGCAATAAAATATCCTAACTTATCCATCATAAACATTTGWAAACAAAGCAAATAAAATAATACTAACATAATTTTATTAATTAATAATTATGGTTGTTAATTTTGAACTTTATAAAATAATATTGATTGTTAAATTGTTAATAGAGAAGACTATCCAAAAATGTTATGATTATTTAAGTTTTACTATACTTTTGTAATGTAAACAATTAAACAAGTAAACATTTAATTTATTTTAAGGTAGTTATCTTTAAAACTAATATCACATAACAGATATTTTTGGTGGAATTTTTGAAATATTGAAACGTGCAAAATATTTTTTCCCRATCTGAATTTCYGCTTTAGTATATGTACCTACATGAATTTAAAAACATTTTTTGATATCTGTTGAATCCATGGTCAATTTTCCACCTGAAATATTCTGCAAGTGTGATATAAAAAGATAAAATAATTCATTTAATCAAGTAATAAAATAAAACTGTTGTAGCTACGTCAGTCACAGTCGGCCTGCACAGATATTGATTGCTTGGAACCAGGTAAATCTAGATTTTAAGTTAATAATGATACAATACATTTTTTTTTTACCATTTTTACATTAGACATTTTACAAAAAATATTCAGTCTTTAATTTTACTTAATTTTTATTGAGCAAGCCGTGTATTTATTCTTAAATATTTATATTTATATAATTTTTTTTTTAATAACAATGCTTACACAAGTTAATTTTAATGAGACAATGTTAAAAAGTTTTTAATATTTGGTATTCCTGCACAAATAAATTTAATTATTTTAAAATTATTATGTAATATTTATACAAAACACTTATATGGTTGTTAATATTTATATATATGATTATTATATCACTTTATGTAAGTAAATTATAATATAAAATTTAATTTTTATAGTGCAAAGATTAGATGGACCATTGGCATCGAATAGTGAAGATACTAATTTTATCTTATTAACTGGAATTTGGGTTGTTATTGCTTTGGCTTTGTACTTTATGCGTCCTAATCCGGCTCGTACACAAGAGGAAACTATAAAAAAATCACCATTTGGTGGATCTGACAATAGTGGATCAGATGTATGGATTACATTAAAACAACAAACAATATATTTCATATATGAATAAAAATATTTTTATTTTCAGGATCCACCTTCCCCACCTCCTCCATCAATGGGAGCCCAGTGATAAGTTGACGGTACATTCTACAAGAATTTTGAGCTTCGCTCAATCTAAAATTCCCTTCCATTATTCCACAGATAATCATTATAATCACATAGATTTAAGAATTTGAAATTTTAATTAAAGTTTTCCACTTGACTAATGAAATCCACTGCACTAAAGTGAAACATCAAATCATTGTTTTTATATTACAAAAAAATTAATATACCTTAACTTTAAACTTGATAAAATGTTATTATATAAGCACATATAAGATAATAAGTTTTCTTTTTCAACTATTATGATAAACAATAAAGTTAAATTGGGGATATGTATTAGTTGAGTGGAAAATATTATGATTAATAATTATTATACATTATAATATTATATATTACTTTTATCATATGCAATAACAAGGAGAGAATATGTACAGAAATGTATTTAGTATTTGAATGTGTGGATTGATTTATTATAGCTGTTTTATTTTTAATTTAAATCTTATTTTATTGTTATTTTGTTAAATAATATTTTAATATATTTACAAGAACCGAGCATAATATTTTGTTAATATTTCATGAGAATGAATTAAAATTGTCCATAATATGTATTCAATTAAGTTTTATAATTAACTTCACATTTTCTTAAACTTATTGTTTAATAAAAAAAAATGGGAAGTCTCTGTTGTATAGTATTGTGTTGAGTGCACCCAAATCCAGGTTAATGATCCATTTTGAAACATTTGACACTTAAGGCTTCACTTTCACTCATGCTTCAAATTTGTTATTTCATTATCAATATTTTCACTTAAAAAAACATTGAATAACAATTTTCGTGAATAAATATAAGTTTAGTTTTTGAGTGAATGAGAATATAATCTAAATGTAATCTAATGGTTTTACATTGATGAGTGTTTTATTTTTGTGACTGTCCTCATGTCTAATAGTAAAAAAAAATGCTCCAATCTTCAACTATGATCATAGTTTCAGATAGTAAATTRGATATAATTGTTATTTTTGGGAGGTCAAAATTGAAAATTCTCTATTCTATTAAATTAATTGAGAAATACAAAATAAAAGGAAACATAGGTTACCACTCTGGCCTTTAATGTACATACCTAGGTTATAAGTATATGGTAGKCCTTAGTCATTGGGTCACTATAATAAATGTGTTAAATGATAAATCATTGTACACAAAATATGGTTCTGACTTCTGAGCAAGAACCAGAAGTCTTGGTATATCTAAGTAAATATATCTTATTAAATATCATATACTTAAAGTATCTAATATAGAGTAGGTTAAATAGTTATTTTAAAGAAAACTAATGGAAAATCTATCAATTTTTCAAATTTTGGGGATTGATTATATTATTATATAGGTATTGCATATAAGGTATAAGTATATAAAATTTTAAATTTAATGAGTTTTAGCAACAAAATAGTGAACAAATTTTCGTGATTTTGACAAGTTTTGTCAAATGTGAATTCAAGAGCTTATAAAAAAAATCATATCTGTATTTTTAATTTTTTTAAGAGAAACTTTTAAAGATCAGGAGTTACATTTTATAGCTCTTACACTATCAAATAGAAATATTATCATCCTGAAGTCCAAAAAACTATAAAGACAATAATATTATTATGTAAGTAGGAGGCTCAAAAAGAAAAAATATTTTTTTCATTTCCAAAAAATGTAGTTAAGTACAAATATTTATGAAAAAATTCAAGTCCACTTTTGTTTTCGAATTGCAACAGCCAGCAAAAAACAAAATTGCTCTTGTTGAAACTGATTTTTACTTTTTCAAAAATAAAATATGTTATTTTTATGTCCATCTCCTTTTACAGTTTATGTGATTGCATAAGCGGAACTATAAAATGTTATTAGGAGTATTAGGACAGACAAAATGATAAATATGAAAGTAGAATATTATGACTTATGACACTCGTACTCAGTAGATTCGCCTATGTGTATGAGTTTTGAGTTGATGATGTATATGGAAATATCTAATACGATGAAAATATCCCCGCGAAAGGTCACACTGGCAAGGATGAAATAATAGTAAAATCAATTTTTGTCATAATATTATGGTCTTCTTTAGATTATTATTTTTATAATATTTTAAACGTGGATTTGTACTCAATATCCATCATTCGTCTTAAATAATATTTATCCAGCATTCCAACTTCTGATAAAATACCTAAGCATTATGAAACTCAGTATTTTCACTTTAAATATATGGTATTTACTATTTTGCTATTATATTTTTTGTTTCATTGCTTACTTATGTCTTATTATATTATTTTGATAACAGACAAATATTTAATATATTTTCAGGGGTTTGAAATTTATTTCCAAAAATCGTAATGCTCGAGTAAAAGCATTATCTGACAGTTTAACAAACAATGGATATGATGTTGTGTGCTTACAGGAATTATGGTGTGAAGATGATTACAAATATTTAAAAGCATCTTGTAAAAACGTATTTAAATACATACATTATTTCCACAGGTATTGTGTTACATAAAATGTTCAACCTATCAACACAGAATAGGTTTAATCTATTCTAATTCTATGCTATTAATTAGTACCTAATTAAAAAAATATTATATTATTAATATTTATATTATAATTAGATGCATCAATAGCTTCTACAAATGATACACCACTACAGCTGCTCTGATAGTAAACAGTCCTAATGGACTTGATATAAATTCYTTAAAAAGGTTTTTTGAACTCACTGTAAATATACAATGGTAATCTATACATATAAACTGTTAACTGTTAAGAGACACAAAATGTTAATGGTCATCACTGTAATTTCCAAATTGAAAAAAATGAAAATGACTAGGTTTTAACATATTTCATTAACAGATCACCAACGTCATTTGAATGACTTACATTTTCTGGGCATTGCAAGATAGCAAATAGCATGTATTAACTTATATTATATATTTCATAGATCTTTCAAAATTAAATATGAAGATAACAATCATAAAAATTGTAAAAATTTGTCTAAGAAGGATACCTATAATCCATATTATAGGTATTTATGATTCATCATGTGAATGTGATTTTCAATTAATTAGTTCCCTACATTTTTATGTACAAATTACTTATATTTATGCTATAATTTAAGCCAGAGGAACCAAAAAAAAAAAAATTGAATTGGTTTTTATACCCGTTCATGAAAAACATATCACAACAAGACATTTACAACCAAAAGCATAGTATTCACCTAAATACATATTCTCCCTTCACTTATTTATTTTCTCTCAGCTCATCTAACAACTTGAAGAAAATCCATGCAACCTCCTGCATATTATATTTACTGCCCTATCCAGTATCCTTGACACTTTTTTGCTTCTCCGCACTTGGTTATTTCTTTCATAWCAAAGACATAAATTTTAAATTCAAATTTTTCAAAAATGCATTAGATTAAGATTTCTTATTAGTACTTGAATAACAGTATACCTACTATGATTATTGTGCAATAATATTTATTATTTTATACATATAAACGCATAAAAATAAAAATCTAAAATTTAATTTGTGTTTAAAAGTGGCATGTTAGGATCAGGGATGTGCATCATGTCWCGTTATCCAGTAATTGATCACCATTACCACTCATTTAGTTTGAACGGCTATTTACATAAGATTTGGCATGGAGATTGGTTTGGTGGAAAAGGGATTGGTATGTGTCGTGTCAATGTCAACGGCTTTACTGTAGATGTATACACTACACATGTAATTTATATATTTTTTAATAATTATTATATAAGAAACTAAATATTATTGACGATTAATATTCAACAAAAAAATAAAAAAATTAACAACTTTTAAGATTTCTTTACTTAAATAATCTTAGTACCTGATTGAAAACAATTCAAATTGTGGTATACCAAAAAAGCTTTTTGAGGCATTAATTTGTAATATTTTTTAGTTGAGTTACTTATATTTAAAGCATATATAGTTCAGTGGCGTGTTCAGAACTTTTTTTGTGGATGGGCCATAAAAATTAAGTTCATAATGGTTTTACCCCCTCCTTATACTAAAATTTCATTGAGCATCRAACTTACACTAGTCTAGTACTTATATAAAAATGTGGGTGGGCACATGCCCACCGGGCCCACCCCTAGACACGCYACTGATATAGTTAATACTCAGCTATTATAATTTAGAAAATTGTCTACCTAATATCATGGTAACACAAATCTGGTTGTGATAGAATTTTTATAATTCGTTTCAACTTTSAAATAAGTTTGGCATGTCATAGTTGGTACTATTGTACTATTAGATTTGTTACTTGAATCTTAAATAAATGTGTGTTTTTTTAATTTTATCTTAATTTCAGTTACAAGCTTGTTATAATGCATCAAACGATAAATACATAAATCACAGAATAATACAAGCTTTTGAAATTGCAAATTTAATTCGTATTACATCTGCTGGTTCTGACTTATCAGTTTTAGCCGGTGATCTCAATTGCAATCCAAATGATATTTGTTATAAGTTAGTCTGTTTAGTTGCAAACATGATCGACTCTCATTCTGCGGTAATTTAAAAAAAATTAAGTATTTATCAATGCATCAAATTACTGAGGCATAATATTATAGCAATAGATTATGGTAAATTCTTGATTATCTACAGAATATT